TTGACGATCGACGATCGCGCGATCGACGGCGATCGATAATATCGATAACTTCGATTATTTCCAATTATTTAATATTCGCGATAATTTATTTTGCATTAATGCTATCCGGTGCCCGATAAATTATTTCATCATTTAAATTGTTCATGAAAAATACCAACGAGGTTTAATTAACAAGAGACTCGCATAAATCTATCGAATTGTTTAAGTTATTATATCGAAATGCTTTTGTTAATTAATTTAATATTTCTCGCATGTTAATAATAAAAATTGATTCATTTAAATATCTATGCTGACGGGTTTTCGAAAATTTTAATAATCGTAGAAATGATCGCCGTTTCAAGACGTTTGCAAATACAGTAATGTCTCCCTAACTGACGCTCAAATTGTGCACAAAACTGGACAATTCTGGAAGAGGAGATACGATTATTCGATCCTTGCAGCGCATTTTTATAATTACGAATTGTCAACGACTATAAAAAACGAGCGGCAAGGCACGAACAATCGTATCACCTGTTCCAAAATTGTCCATTTCTGTGCACAATCTGAGCGTCAATTAGAGAGACATTACTGTACACTGGACTGTGTGGTCAAGAATTCTACTGGGCAAAAGGTACAAGTCGAATATCGCGCCATGTGTTTTAGATGGAGACCGCTAGAGCAAGATCGCAATGCTTATTATAGTGAAGCGGACTTGCTTCATGGTGAGGCATGACTGTAACAGTATCTATTGTCATTTTTAAATTTCGTGACTGGTATATGTTTATAAATAAGTAATAATATCGTTTGTCACTTGTGACAAGTTACTTAATTATGTTATATTTTTGAAACAATTACATAATAAATCTGTACTTATGAAAATTCAATCACATTTTGGAGTACAACAAAATGTGGTATTTGTTAACCTCGACAGGTAAGTTTTCGTTGTGAATTAAGATAAAAGATTACAGTAAATAACGCAGTTTTAACACGAATATTTATTTATTTATTTTTAGGAAAGCGCTTGTATTTGCAGCCAACCAAGGAAGTAACATTCGGTAGAAAGAAAAGCGACATTCTTCTGCAAAATGACGACTCTGTCAGCAGATTACATGCTACTATATGCGTCAAACCCAAAGATATAGTGAAGGTAGGTGGTAAAATTTACATTAGAATTTTATCTTTTTATTGAAATTTCTTTATCCATATAGCCTAATGAACCTATATCTGTGTGTGAATTGAAAGATAATGGTTCTAAATATGGTACATACATTATTTTGGACAACGAAGAAAAAATTGAAGTCACTGAGGAAGGATATAAATTAACGAATGGAGATAATATACGCTTCGGTTTACAGCAACATGTTTTTACGTAAAATTTCTAATTTATTTTATTGTTGTTTCATTAGCAGTAACAAGGATTTTATAATATTCCTTGTTCATTAAATTTATATTTTAGTGTTGTATATGTACCCCTAATAACCATTGTGTCCACCTTAAATGACACTGAAAAACGAAAATTGCAAGTTATATTTGATCAAATTGATGGAATGATTTCTACCGAATGGACAACCGTTTGTACTCATTTAACAGTGTCAAAAGCTTCCTTAACAGAAAAGGTTCTTACTTTTCAATATTTCTATACCTGTTCGCTATCTCTTTTGGTAGCTTTACAAGAACTTCCTTTCACTCAGATTGCGTGGGCTATGGCTTCTGCGGTGCCAATAGTAAGTCTGAATTATTGGACGGCAGTTAAACATGCCGTTAGTAATGGTAAAGAGCTCCCAAATCCAACAGATTTTGTTCCACCACTTACCGAGTCGTTAATCGATAAAGGTTTTGTATCACTCTGTGTAAATGAAAAACGGACGACACTGTTTCGTAAATTAATATTTGTGTACTTCAGTGCACGCCAGTACAAAATCTATGGAAAAATGGTTAACATGGCAGGTAAAGAGGCAAATGATGGGAGATGCAACTTTGTTTTTCATTACTTTTAATAAGAAATATGTTGAAGGTGGTAAATCTGTGTTATACTCAAAGAAACCATTGACCATTAAAGAAATCTGTGCACCTAATGTTATCGTGGTACAATACTCTGATGGTGATACAACTCAATCAACACAGGGCCTAGTACCTGAATATGAAACAATATGTAAGCAATTTTTACATACTTTTATATGTTTATATCTATAAAGTAAGGTACATAAAACGGGCTCGTTTTAGATGTGATATTGCATATTTTAATATCTATAGTTCACCGTTTACAGATAATACATTGAAAGCGAATAAACGTAATATGATAACGGAAAGTGATATTGTACTCGCCATTTTACATTGTTCCACAGAAAGGCATTGCAATCCAAAATTTAAGTTTTACGAATTGTTGAATAGATCGCAATCAAAACCTGACTCCTCCAATGTCTTAGCTTTTGACACGCAAGATCTAACGTCCGATGTGAAAATACTACCAAAAGTAATTTCTAATGTTTTGGTAACATCGAACGTGGTTACGGAAAATGTGATAAAGAAAGTTGGAATCATTCCTGAATCATGTAGTTCTCATAACATACTTCAATCACTAGATATAATGAAATCTAGTTTGTCAAAAGGTATTCAAATTACAAAGATCGCTACTGATGATATTACAATTGAAAGATCTACAGAAAAAATCAAAGAAATACATCCACAAAAAGCCGTGAGAGATACTTCAGAAATAAATAACTCATCTCAAACACAAGATGTACCAAAAGCTAACACATTCACAGCGACTCAAAATACAATTCTTAATATTAACGATAAAATTGAAAGGGTAAACAAAGTGTCTTTGCAAAAGGCTGTGAAATGTATTCCAGAAACAAATGATTTGTCTCAATCACAAGACATTATCAGTACACCAAAAATTAATCAGAATACGAAGAACACTCATAATAGTAATATTTCAAATGAAAGTAAGTTGCCACAGGGGATAAAAGAAGTACAGCCACAAAAAACAGTGCGATGTATTCCAGAAACAAATGATTTGTCTCAATCACAAGACATTATCAGTACACCAAAAATTAATCAGAATACGAAGAACACTCAAAATAGTAATATTTCAAATGAAAGTAAGTTGCCACAGCGGATAAAAGAAGTACATCCACAAAAAACAGTGCGATGTATTCCAGAAACTAATGATTCGTCTGAATCGCAAGACATTATCGGAGCGCTAAAAATTAACCAGAATACAAAAAGCACTCACAATAGTAATATTTCACTTGAAAATAAATTGTTACAGAAGATGAAAGAAGTACATTCACGAAGAACACTGCAATGTATTTCTGAAACTAATGATTCGTCCCAACTACTGGACACTAACGGAACACCAAACACGAGTCAGAGTACAAAGAACAGTGCTGGTGGTAACACTTCAATTGAAAGAAAACCCGCACAGAGGGTAGAAGGATTACATTCACGAATGTCTCAAAAGTGTATTCCAGAAACGAATGAATTTTCTGTTCACAAATCACAGGATGTAAGAAAACAAAATAGAAACTCACACGAAAATGATCACATGGAAGAGTCAATGATAGCGAATAAAGGAACATCTTTAAATGACGTAATTAACTTAGCAGATGAAGATGACGACGAAGAAGAAGCAGAAAATAAAATGGAAGAGTTATTGTTCAGTAAGCTAAATGCCAGTCGCTATCCTGAAAATTTTTTGAATCAGTCGAAATTGGATAAACTAGTTCATGACAGTAGCGCTAGAACACACAGTCCAGAATTATATGTATCACAATGGCTCGTAACTGAAATGGACACCGATGATACTAAAAAGTCTAGAAAAAGAAGTAATCCTTCTGATGAAGATGGTGAGACATCGATCAGGAAAAAATTATGTACTTCAGTCACTGAAAGTTCTGCAACGTTGTCGGAAACTAAAAATTCAGCGCATACTGTAAAGCCATCACGAGCTGTAAGATTGGTCATTCAAGTTTTTAGAATAAAGTGTAAATGTAAATGAGCAATAGTTATTTCGATGTTTTTTAGGAAAATCATAATTACTTACCACAGAATGATACCTCATTATCCAGTGATGAATTTGTTTGCAAACCATTTAAGAAGGTATATGAATGATTTAAAAGCTCTTTAGCTTGTTTTCTAGAATTTTAATGATTCTTTTTAATAGGTTCCAAATAAATTTGTTGAGCAAAGGATTACGTTCGAGAAGGCACTTACCTGGAAGCTGGTGACTCTATCAAGCGAATAATGAAGAATTTCTTACTATGTTTGTATAGTAATAAGTTCCATTCTAATCTTCCTTTTGCATTTTTGTACAATAAAAATTGTTTGATAAGCGAATCAAAATTACTTGATAATTATTTTTGTTTAATAAGTGGCAATTACATCGAGAAATTGAATTATGTTTGCATACATAAGTATACAAACATAATTCATAATAAAAATAATAAATTTTCACAATCCTCGAAGCTGTTTTCAGTAATGCCTGATTAATGCAACAATAATTATTAATTTTATTAAATAAGTATTAGTATTATTAAGAAGATACATATGGCGAATAAATTATAATTTTCGAGACATAGCAAGCCTTTAAAATTTCTTACCTTTTTTGGCGTACACTCAGTTAATCCAAATTTTATCATTTACAAATTTAATATTGTTCAATTATATCCTCGAAGATCTTCAAAATTAATCACGATACGTTTTTCGCGCGATGGACGTAATCTAACAAAGATCGTGTTATTAATTAGCGACACGATTGATCACGATATCATCGTGTCAGCTTTGTTAACAATACACTGCACTAAGTAGGTGAATATACTTTTTTTTATCTATCGTAGTATCAATGACCAATCAATAATTCTTTATAAAGTTTCAATCAAAGCTATCTGTTGCCCGATAAGAGCCTCACTTTCAATTGTTAATCTAACGTGGATCTGTATTGGCAGCGATTTCACAAGAGCTGGACACACCTTCGTGGATTTTCCAATCGCCGCGTATCATCGATGATGATGATGATGGGCCGCCGATCGTTTCGAGTTTTGTTGGGGGATTTGGAAAAACGTAAATAAAATATGCACAATAATGGTCGAAGATAAGATGGTTGATATATAAGTAATCGAAGGCAGGATGAGTCGGTTTAGTTCCAAGTGATCATCGCCGTCATCATGCGCATTCTCTTGATCGCGGCGGCCTGCGTGGCAGCTGTCTTCGCCGCTAACGAGGAGATTTTGCCACCCTTAGAGGGGTACGTTTCATTTTCTCGCGTAATTCGATTCATCCAACTCGTTTCGAATAAAAGAATAATATTTCGTCGGTTCGATTTTCCTGTTCCGAGTTTGTGATATTGACAGTTAAATCGATGCAAAATCAAACGAATATTCTGCATTATTTGCCGCTTTTGAACGGGCATCGATTAATCAGTCAACGAAGCAGAAATAAATTTCAAATTGAATGGAAAATACAAGGAGATCGGTTATTTAATTTTTCATCGGTTTAACGATGTTTTCAACGTTTTCAAAACCAGAAGTATCGATGTCCCGGTATTTATAAAATTTCCATACACAATAGTCGAAGCTTGTCAGGACCATCTCTTTCAATTTGAAAAAAACAGTTTCCATCTCGCGCGAAAGCCGCGATCTGACTGTATGTATTCAACTGCGGCGACGCCAGATGAAAATTTAATCTATCGAAATTGACAGGATGCAAAGCCTCTCTATTTCCGTGAGCACAACGGAGCAGCTTATGCTATTGAAAAATTTCGTGGACGTTCCTGGTTTCGATTTTCTACGGACGACCGAGAGCGAGGTGGACGTGTTGGTCACGGCGGACAACGTAGACGACTTTAAGAGTCTTTTGGACCGGAATGGCATGAGTTACACGGTCTTGGTGCAGAATGTCCGGGAGGCAGTCACCGAGGAATACATCAATCAACAAATTGAGCGAAGGGTGCAGTCGCTCCTTCCGCAAGAGCTGGCTGCTTCCGGAAAATTGTCTTTCACTTACTATCCTAATAACAACGAAGTACGTAGCAACTTGCTCGCCTTAACAGGGCAACTTAATTTCTCTCGAGAATAGCAACTGCAATTTGCTCCCCATTCGAACCAAAAATAGATCTCCGTTTCCGTTTAATTCTTGAACCCTCAAACCGGTCGCCAATGTCTTTCGGAATTTTTCTTCAGCGATTCCTTTATTCTTCTTTCTTTCAAGCATAAAAATTCTTTACGCGATATTATCGTAGAAAATTATTATATATCATAGAAATCGTACGAAGTTCGAATCAATCTTGTCGTCGCGTTTAGGGCTCGACAATAATCGCTGTTATGTTTAATATCATCTGTATTATCGCGACCAGCTCGTGCTCGATACAAAATTACAGTAAATTCTACCGAATTTTCCTTCGGCTTTTAAACAAAATTGGACAATTCGGGAAGAGGAGATAATATTATTCGAGCCTTGCACCTCATTTTTAGAATCGCCGATTGTCAACAATTATAAAAATGAGTCGCGAGCCTCGAACGATCCGAATCCTCCCTTCCCCGAATTGTTAATTTTCGTTTACAAGCCGAAGGAAAATTAGGGAGAATCTACTGTTATTTACGAAACGAAAGTGATTAACCCTTTGCACTATAATAATAATATTGTTATTATTATATTAATATTAATATTAATGAATACTGTTTAATATTAATGAATCTACTGTTATTTACGAAACGAAAGTGATTAACCCTTTGCACTATAATAATAATATTGTTATTATTATATTAATATTAATATTAATGAATACTGTTTAATATTAATGAATCTACTGTTATTTACGAAACGAAAGTGATTAACCCTTTGCACTATAATAATAATATTGTTATTATTATATTAATATTAATATTAATGAATACTGTTTAATATTAATGAATCTACTGTTATTTACGAAACGAAAGTGATTAACCCTTTGCACTATAATAATAATATTGTTATTATTATATTAATATTAATATTAATGAATACTGTTTAATATTAATGAATCTACTGTTATTTACGAAACGAAAGTGATTAACCCTTTGCACTATAATAATAATGTTGTTATTATTATATTAATATATATATTTTTATATTAATATATATATTATATTATGCGAGTCCCAAGGGTCAATTTCATATGCATAAAATGCATTTTGCCATGTAAAATAAAGGTACTATAAGTTAAAAAAATAATTTTATATTTACGGTTAAGATAGCTTCGAGTGCAAAGGGCTAATACGGAGATGTTTGATGAATTCTGAACGGTGTGTGCGCAGCTTTGTTGGCGAACTATGTTTGTGCGCTCGGAGAAGTGACTGAACTTAATAATCTATGTATGTGTATAAACATCATAGCGTAGAAAATAACCCCGGGATCTTCGTTAGGTGGATCAGTATCTGAGCTACATAGTGAAAAGCCACGGTGACGTGGCTTCGTTAATCAACATAGGAGCGTCCTATGAGGGACGGCAAATGAAAGTTCTAAGGCTGTCAACCGGTGGTAATAATAAGCCTGCCATTTTTATCGACGCCGGCATTCATGCCAGAGAATGGATCGCTCCAGTGACGTCGCTCTACATAGTGGATCAGTTGGTGGCGAATAAAAATCTTCTGAAAAATATCGATTGGTACATTCTTCCGCTATTGAACCCGGACGGTTATGCGTTCACGCACAGCTCATCCTCGGTAATTATGTTTTTTGTTCAATTAAACTCGTGATTGTCGTGTAAACCGTTTAAATTTTCATTATCGCTGTAGGCAAGTTGTTGGTCTGATCGTTAACATTGTCTAGGGAAACGTCATTTCGAAGATTCGATTCAGAAGATCGAGCAGAAAAGTGTGTTCAAATTGTCTGAAAAGTTTATCGGATTGTAGATTCATGCGATATAGAAGAAATAAGCAATAGATAATTACTTAATTAGATCAGGAGACATTTCTTCTATGAGTTAGATGTTTTATTTGACGTTAGAATTTATAGAATTTATAGAATTTATAGAATTTAATTAGAATTTAATTAGAATTTAATTTCGATTTTAATCTATATTTTCATTAATATCATTCCACTGTTATACTTGAATAAAGATCAGCCAACATTGAGAACAAATAGGTAAGTTAATATTGCGAATATTAATAGCGGAAATTTCTGTTGTTGTTTTATTATACATGTCATACATTTTTAATCAGAACATCGATCTGTGTCTGTTAGTTAGTTTTCTAGGATATATTTCTCTATTTATTTTTTATCTAGGATATTTTCTAGAACATCCGTTCAGACAAGTTACTAACAATAATCTTATTTGCTGTTTCAGAACCGTCTCTGGAGGAAGACAAGGTCTGTCAACAGCGGTTCCTCTTGCCGAGGTGTCGATGGCAACAGAAATTACGAGATGGGATGGATGGGTAAGCACACACCCGATTTAATTAGCAGCTCACCGCGGATTATATCAGTCACGAGCAGTGCGCGTCTTTAAAGCTTGTTCGACGTCGAACAAGGAAACGACAGTGGCAACATTTAATCTCTCCCACGAATCAATCAATCGACCACTGTCCGGGTATAATTCCGTTTTTTCCGTGTTTTTATCGTCGTCGATCAAGCTCGAGGGCTTCTATTAAAAAGACAAAATTAATGTTTCCTCATAGAGATTACGGTGCATGTCGATCAAACATCGGGATCGTTGATAAATCGTCCGCGATACCGTCGACGTGCCTTTCTTGATTAATCAGCCGAGCATCGGAATGAAACAATGCCGAGAAAATTGATCGCGATATCACCGAGTGGACACAATAACAATACTTTGTTTTCGGGAACATCTTGCGAAATCACGTCGTCACGATTTCGGCGATATTTCTGCGAACGTGATTCATGATGCACCGTTTTTTTCTTCCAAGGCTCGATCGTTTCATTAGCTGCTGCACATCGCGAGATCTACACGAATAACTTCTTTTTTTTGGTTGCTATTTCGTGAGAGAAATGCTGTTCGATGAAAACACAAAGCTTTCTGCTTCGTTGTTACGACAGAACGACCTAATTAATTTAGGAGTACTTACGATCGACTGTGAAATGTTATAAATACAATTATTCGTTCTTATACGAAAAAGAGAACTTCGTGCTAGCTCTCAGAAATTGCAGAGATTATTTCGCAGAAGGTATTTATCGATTAAAATAGCTTTTGAAAATGAAATACAGGGTATCCCAAAATTATGCTGCTTCCTGGTAACGAGGGGTTCCCGAGGTCATTTGAAGTAACTTTTTCCTTTACAAAAATGTTCTTCGAGGCATCGTTAACGAGTTATTAACGAAAAACCCTGACCAATCGGACGCGAGCTCGGCTGGCGCGAAGTCCAGCTTCGCTCATTGGCTCAGCCGTCTCGCGCCAGCCGAGCTCGCCTCTCATTGGCCAGCGTTTTTCGTCGATAACTCGTAAACGAAGCCGCGGATTGCATTTACGCAAAGGAAAAACTTACTTCAAATAACACGAGCAATCATTTTCGGATATCCCGCATAAATTCTGTCGTCATAAATTCAGCACGTTATTATTAGCGCGTCTTCGGGACCCGCGAGAACCGCAAATGCCTGAGAAAACAGGCTCGACAAATTAGAGGAATTCGCGGGAAACGATAACAGTTCGTACAATTGTTCCGGCACGGCGGGGACACGCTGATCGGCATTTTCATTAATGTTATTTGTTGCGAATTGATTTCGTCGGTGCCGGCCGCGGCGGAACAACAGCGGTTCGTCGAAAGGCAATCGAACTTTTCTATCGCAAATAATTGAACGCGAAAGGGGAACACGTCGTTAGTCGGCCGCGCGCATCAACTCCCCCTCGTATACCCCATGAAGAGTACTGTGTCACGGTTAAACTCGACTATTGCACTCGAACTTTTCTTTGGAGAGCAATCGCGCGGCGTTTTCATTGAAGTTATGATTGAGCGTGATAAAAACTTGCTCGTTACCGGCGCGGTTGTTACTCCTCCGGGGTCTCTTCATTCGGTAGGGGGGCAGGGGGGGGGGAGGTGTGGGGGCTTTAACACACCGACTTTCGAGGAGCTTCCCGGAGTCATTTGCCGGCGTTACGGATGTCGACGCGCGGCCCCTCGACATCGCGATGACAATTTCACCTTTCGTTTACGTTCAACTGTTTCGCGCCGGGGGCTTTGGAACCGGGAATTATCTCGGCCGGGGTACAGCTTTAAGTATCCGGTGACGCAAAGGCTTGTGTTCCCGTCCACCTCGCGAAAACTGTGCGCTTGCAAATTCCCTAATCCGGGATCCGACGAACTCCCGTGCTCGTTCCATTCCCGGAATCTATCGCTTCGCGAGTTTATCAATTCTAATCTATTAAAGCACAACGCGCGACGCAAGAGCTTACGAGCGAATTCTTCGAGGACCGCGGCTCATTTTTATAGTTTATATATATAGCATATATATAGTTATATATTATAGTTTATATATAGTATATAGTATAGTTCCATTTTTATTTTAACAATTTATTTTTCCGGGTTAGTTCGACGATTACAGAAACGAAGTGCAAGGCTCGAATCAATCGTATCTCCTCTTCCCGAATTGTCCGCTTTCGTTTACGAGCCGAAGGAAAATCGGGGAGAATTTACTGTTATTTTCTGGCTGTGGTGTATCTCAATGCTTTATCCATCGACGATTATCTCGTAATTGTTCGTAAAATTGTTCGTAAAATCGAATATCGTCGATTTGGAATTTCTGGAAAAAATCATTTGAGAACTACGACAATCGCAATTATTATTCGAATGAAAATTATCGAGCTTCTCTTGGATGAGTAATCGACAAGTCTATTTAAAGCTCGATTATTTTCTTGTTTTTAAGATAACAGTGTTTCAGAAGCGATCGATAGGTAGCATTGATCCGGATCATTTGTCGAATTACGGATAAAATTGTTATCGCTTCGGAACGATTTTTTAAAAAACTGACTGAAGAAGCTTGGCCGACGATCTTTGATTTCGAAATTAGCAGCTTAACAAAGCCTCGTCATTCTTCTTTTAAATAACAATCCCGACAACTGTTGTATCCAAAAGAAGCATCATAATTTTCTTTTCAATAATTCTGAAAATTACGCGTTGCGCTAAAATCCGAATATAAATCTAACAATTGAGAAGAAAGAAGCGAACGAGAAGACGTTTGCTCCGCTTTGCTGTTTTACCATAAATTTGTATACAATGTTTTAAAAATACATTACAAAAAAAAAATAATACTATAGTATAGAAATACTATAGTATAGAAATACTATAGTATAGAAATACTATAGTATAGAAATACTATAGTATAGAAATACTATAGTAATGAAATACTATAGTATAGAAATACTATAGTATAGAAATACTATAGTATAGAAATACTATAGTATAGAAATACTATAGTATAGAAATACTATAGTATAGAAATACTATAGTATAGAAATACTATAGTATAGAAATACTATAGTATAGAAATACTATAGTATAGAAATACTATAGTATAGAAATACTATAGTATAGAAATACTATAGTATAGAAATACTATAGTATAGAAATACTATAGTATAAAAATACTATACATATAAAAATACTACAAAATACTATAGTATAGAATCTAAATAGTATAGAATTTAGAACAAGGTCAAGGTGAATGAGACAAATGCGATAAGAAATACGAGGAAGCACAAATTCGTATCTTATCATAGCTTATTCACAAAGCGTCCGTTGCGTCTCAGATATTCAATCGGCCGACTGCGTGATACGAAAAAGAATGCAGCCGCTAATGATCTTCTAATTCGGAGTCGTTGGGGATCCGCGAATTATGCTCGGGGCGGCGACGCCCGGGGCTCTAATTTGTTCTTTTTTTCATTTACGAAATTTGAAGCAAATAAATTCAGCCCGGGCGACGAACACAGCCGCAGTTCCGGAGTCTCTCTCTAAATTGAGATCCCTAATTCGACATGCCATTTGAAAGTTGCCCGCCGCGAGAAATTCGCGCGAGCACTTCCTCGTATTACGTTGCTTCTCTCCGCGAGAAAATTCGACGCGTGTACTAAAAATTTCCGCTGTATTACCTTCCGGGCTGCCTCCCGGATTAGTATTGTCTACCGTCGAGATACTTTTGCGCCCTTTTATCCGCTGGAACCACCCGATGTTTGATTAATACTTCAGAAAATCGTGCTCCTTTCGGATCCACGATCCGCGCGAAGAAATAAATTTCTCAGCGCGAACACGCCTGTCTGATAAATATTTTCGGACGTCGGATTATTTTACAGATCGCACGTTCATGGACCGCGTAGGCGAGACGCAATTTTTTTTCCATATCTATTTAAACATCCGCGGCGAAGGCTTTCTTCTTTTCTTTTTTTTCTCGATGAAACTTATGTATTTTTTCTGCTCTCCACCCCCACCCGGTTTTCGCCACTGCGCTCTTTGTTATTATGACGGAGTGTGCACACAGCAAATCGAGTTCCCCCGAAATGAACGTCGTCTAAATGCGTTTGTTTCTCGTTTTGCGAGACGTTATGAGAAAATAATTTCAAATTTGATTCCGTCGTTATACGAAGCGGAAGCTCGCTTCATCGAATTATGAACCTCTTTCGGAATGTACGAAAACAATTTTAGCCTCGCGAATTTCGCAAATTGCCGAGCTACAATGAGGTAGATAGAAAGAGGGAGAGCGAAAGAATTCATTCGAACGTGTGTTTTATCGTTTGATCAATTAGCTCCTATTGTTAGCCTTCTTCTCATCTTCGTCCCATTCTTCGCGGTTCGTTCGTGTTTCTTTCTTTCCGCTCCCCGTCCCTACCCGCGATTGTGTTCAATCTACCTGCCGTATTTAATTAATTGATCACCCCTATGCGCGTTTTATAACAAATTAACGAATGTTTGCAGTCGCCGGCGCATCCTCCAACCCGTGCAGCGACACTTACGCCGGGCCAAAGGCGTTCTCTGAACAAGAAAATAGACACATGAGGGACTTCATCAACGCGCGCAAACAGAACATCAAGGCTTACATCACTTTCCACTCTTACGGCCAGGTGAGCGTCCGTTAATTAATTAGATCGTCGCAGAAAACTCGAAATCATTTTTCTAATGAATTATTTGAATTCGTTAAATGGTCAATTCGTTCTAAATATTGGGTTGGCAACTAAGTAATTGCCGATTTGTTCAATGAAATAAAAAATTTCATTTTATTTGGAACGAAGCTTAATCGGTAATGTATTTTCCATTTTGTTCGACGAGCTTTTGCCATCTCTCTGACACCTTGAAAATTCCACGCTCGTAGAAAGTCTGATCGTTTTCGGCCAAAAACTGAGTCAAGTGAGATTTTACAGCGTCGTCATCGTTAAAAGTTTTACCACGAAGGGAGTTGTCCAGGGATCGAAATAAGTGGTAATCCGATGGCGCGAGATCAGGGCTATATGGTGGGAGTAACATCAATTCCCAACCAATATCCATCAATTTTTGCCGAGTGGACAAAGACGTGTGTGGCCTAGCATTGTCCTGCTGGAAAATGACACCTTTACGATTAACCGATTCTGGTCGCTTTTCCTTGACCGCTGCATTCAATTTGTCCGGTTGCTAACATTCACGGATAATAAAAAATAACATAATAATAATAATAATAATAATTTTATAATATAACATTTGCGGATATCATAAAAATGGGAGTGAGAAACATCTATAACTGAAATCGACAATTACTTAGTTGCCAACCCAATAGAAAAATCTGTTCTTACCGGGAAGATCGACTTTAAATGTTTCGTAAACAGTTCAGGGAACTTTGGAAATGTTTAACAGAAACGAATAAATTTCTGTGCGGAAATTTCTGTGCGGAAATTTCTGCAGAATATTTATTCGAGCGTCATTCCCGACGGACAATTTCCTGCGATTTCGTAGACGAAGTCGTCGCCATTTTGCGAACAGCTCGAAAAGCTTTGGAACTTTCCGTGCTGCCCGATACGAGCAATGCTTGACTAATTTCTTGAAAGCTTTTCGCGGTATCTCCATCGTTTATTTAAAGTTCCGAAGAGCAATGTAATCTTTTAATTGTTTCGAATGCAACCCCCCGGCCGTTTCGACTTCAACGATTTTACTTTCGCGAAAACCGAAGAATCGCGAGCTTTTTGACAATTATCGACTGATCTTCCTTTCGCGATAAAATATTATTATTAACGATAAAAATTATTATTATTATTATGATTATCGATATCGTTGTTTCAGTACATTCTGTATCCGTGGGGCTACACTCATCAGGTACCTGCTAACGAGGCCGAATTGGTGAGTCAATTTCTCTCGCGGAATTCTCTGCTCTGTCACAGTTCGTCGTTTCTTCAATTATAACTTGTTTCACAGAAATCACATTCAATTATAACTTGTTTCAGAAAAATCTTGCGGCCAAATGCGCCACCGCCATTGCCAGCTACCGTAGGACCAAATACACGTACGGCACCGCAGCTAATCACCTTTGTGAGTACACATTCTTCTCGATTAACAAGCATAAGTTATCGAACAATTCCTCTGCTTCATGATTTCTTCAATATCATTTCATATTTGTCAGTACAAATTTTTAATCATTTATATGTTGTACAATTGTGCTTTAATTAGTCAGCTCTAATGTACTCTACTAGATTTTTAATCATTTTTCTGTGTTACAATTGTTTCCATTGCTCAGCTCTATTATATTCTAGATTGCGACATGCTTTAAAGAAAGACAAATGCTAACGAGTCCATTTTTATTAATTGTTCTTCTGCTTCACGATTGCTTCAATATTACTTGATATTTGATAGTATACATTTTCAATCATTTATTTGTTGTACAATTGTTTCAATTGGTCAGCTGCAGTATATTATATTAGATTTTTCATCATTTTTCTGCGTCACAATCGTTTCCATTGCTTCTATCTTTATCAATTGTTCAGATCAATTAAAACCGCATGTCAACTCGATCTAAGAATAACCGAGAACGGTCTAAAAATTAGATAACTCAATGACGCTGACACAAGATTCACCCATGATAGCCTTTTGAACGTTCTTAAAACGTTGATCCTCGGCTTCGTTAGAGCCGCTTACCAAACCGGAACTTCATTAGCTTGCAATTAGCGCTTTGAAATTTCTCTGACGTATACTCGAGGAATTCTCGCGAAGACGTATTTCCTGGTTAGTTCTTATGTGTGCTCTTTTCACGAAATAATTAGACCTGGCTGCCGGAGGAAGCGACGACTGGGCGTTGGGCAAAGCTGGCATCAAACTTTCGTACACCTATGAGCTACCCGGCGGAAGCTCTGGATTCTTGTTGCCTCCTTCCGAGATCAAAGCTGTCGGCACCGAAACATTCGAGGCTATGAAAGTGATCGCTCAATATGTTACGGCCAAGTAACTTTCTCAGGTTTAAGCGTGTTAGTTCGTCGATTCTGTATAGGAAGCTTTGAGAGATTCGGCAGTGGATGCTTTATAAAATAATAACACGAGGGACTTCTCTCATCTAAAATCTTGTGTCACGATTACTGTACTTTTCTACGCTATCTCTGCCGTTCCTTGACATCACCACCACGATCCTGCGATTCCTAATAGACATTACTAGAATGTAGAAAATTGTTTGCATAGATTGATAGACAGTTTCTTCCTTTCTTTAATCATTTTAATAAGCAAGTGACGACATTATGGTTCACTTAAATTATTCTACATTGTTTACCGTGCTACTGTTATAAACCTATATAGGAAGCTTTGAGAGATTCGGCAGTGGATGCTTTATAAAATAATAACACGAGGGACTTCTCTCATCTAAAATGTTGTGTCACGATTACTGTACTTTTCTACGCTATTTCTGCTGTTCCTTGACATCACCACCACGATCCTGCGATTCCTGATACACATTGCTAGAGTGTAGAAAATTATTTGCATAGATTGATAGACAGTTTCTTCCTTTCTTTAATAATTTTATTAAGCAAGCGACGACATTATGGTTCATTGAAATTATTCTACATTGTTTACCGTGCTTCTGTTCTAAACCTATATCTTAAAGTCGGAAATCAGTCAAATCTCGAGTAACTGCATTCTATTTTGTACTCGAAGATGCGACACTCAATTTGAACGATCCTATAGTTAACGCTCCAGTTGTCAGAAGATCGTTAAAGGACTTTTTAATGGTCTACCGTGCCCAATTGAAGTTTCACAGTGTTCTTTGTGGCGGAAGTTCCGAAAGAAGTCGAGCCTGTTCCCACGAATGCGAAGTTACTAGTTCTAGTAACAAAGTCATTTCAGCACTCTGTCTAACTATAAAATACCTTTAAAAGCGTCGCGCAGTGTTCAACTTCCGAAAAATAACGATCTGCTCAACTTATTGCTTCTGCTCTACCCGAAAAAAAATATCGACGTCGCTCTTCTCGCAACGTCCTCCTCCTAAAAAAATGCCAAAAAGAACCCGACGAAATGAACCTGAGCTCTCGTCTGAGACAACTACGAGCAATCCGCCGGAAAATCCTGTACCTCCGGTCTCCGATTTCCGGGAGACCGTTAACTCGCCGTCTAAAAAAATAATTACAGCCGGAATCCCGTGTTTTCTCCAGCGATGCTTGCCAAGATTGGCCCGATTCCTGAAGGAGTCGGTCCGTCAAAAGGTCCCCGGGAACAATGATACCCGCGGGAGCCGGTGTTCAGCGCGGGAACGTTTACTTTTAAAAGAAACCACCCCTCCCTCCGCCGCGCGCCGAGTTTCCCGTTCTCCAGCCGTGAAACGAAATAGCCATTGTTCGGGGCCCCTTCCCCTCCCTCTCCAAGCTCGGTGTCTAGCACTTCTGGCTTTTTCCTTGGTTTTTAGGTAGCGGTTCCGCGAAAGCGAGAGTAGCCGTAGGGAGACGGGAGAAGAGAGAGGGGCACCTCGAGGATTTGGTCGGAATGAAGTAGAACACTTAGCACGTAGAGCCACGAGTATCGCGCACGAGTTCCTTTTTTCACCGAGCTTATACCTATTTCTCGTGGGCCCCGCGTTCGGTCTAATTGGAGAAACAACAGACTCATTACCCGTGGACTCGAGTGGAGACGAGAGCTCATTTGACGGGGGCTGAGGGCACTGGGTCGTGAAATTTTTGTATAACGAGCCACTATCGCGGCGCGCGGCCCGCCTCTCTTTCTACTTCCCTTTCTAAGCATTCCTCGAAATCGTCGGCTAAGGTGACAGAGGCTGGCGTACACGCGCCTTTGCCGCCGCGAGAAACCACCCCCGGTTTATACCCCTTTTTACAAGCATCCCCTTGTCCGCGTCGCGGCAGTTAGCACGGTTACACCGGCCCCGAGCCTTGCCGCGTTTCCTCTGTTTCTGCCTCGGGAAACGATGCCGGAGAAAATCTCGGGAAATTCGAGTTTCGCGAACCGATCGGACCGCGTCGCTCGACCGAAGGGTTGCTGTTTTCACCGAGGAACAGATTCAATTCGATTTTTATATTCGAAATTATATTATATTATATTATATTATCGTTTGGAAGCTATAGTTGCTTGGTATTTAGAAGATTAAGACTTTTTTAGAGAGTTGCTCTCATCGTGAATCGTGCAAAATGATATGCATTTGCACCCCTGAGAATTTGTCACGAAACAAAGATTGCTCTGATTCGAAGCTTGAACATCGTTTTCCCTCAAGATCGTTCACGAACAATTTTCGAAAGAGTTTATACAATTCAGCACGTCTGATCAAAGTTCAAAGAATGATCTATTTTTATAAAAAAGTGATACGTACCTGCAACGCGTGCACCACGTTCTTGCGCGTCTTCTGCTATCTTCGAAGCAACGGGAACGTTTCTTCGGCGCGTGAAGCGCTCGCTTCTATTTGTTAAAAGTTCAGATACTTACGCTATTTATTTGTTGTCTGTTTCCGACCAATTTTACCATTCCGACCATTAACGTGCTTCCGATAGACGCACGGTGAATCGGATGAAAGCAAGGTCAACGCGCCAAGACGTTTGAAAATAATTTAAAATAAAAATAGAAAAAAAGAAATAAGTCTATCAGGCAGAGACTGCTTCTGAGGAATTAGAATAGGAACGAAAGTGATGCGATCGAACAATAACTCGGAGCCGAACGATGACGGATTCCATGTTGATAATACGTTTATTCAAGACACTATCGTCGTCTATCGACGGAAATAAATGTAAAATCGTTGGAACAGAAACACGAAAGTAACTTCGAATACGCTCTAAGAAATCAAGAGGCAAATCTCTACGGCGAACGTTTTTAATCGCAAAACACAGAAACCTCGATTATGTATTTTATATTGAAAACAGAAAGAGCAACGATTACGGCTACGGTTACAAAGCTTTTCTCTTCCATTCCCAATCCGTGACTCAATCGAAGGCACATCGTACTAAATGTCTCGAAACAATGAACTTCTCTCATTCTCGTATAGTCCGCACGCAAAAAACGGAGCCGTCGCCAATCGAACACCGAGCCGATTAAAAAGACACAGTCTACTCTATTCAGATGATAATGATCCACAAAACATTTCTTCGTATATATATAATATATATTTCATATATATTTATATATATATAGATCTCATTTATATTTAAATTTATATGTAAATTTATATTTAAATTTATATTTATATTTATGTATATATATATGTACAAGATGCCTCGAAATTATGGTACTTCCGGGAAACGAGGGGCTCCTGAGGTCATTTGAAGTAACTTTTTCCTTTACAAAAATTTTCTCCGAGGCTTCGTTTGCGAGTTATTAACGAAAAACATTGACCAATGAGAAGCGAGGTCGGCTGACGCGAGGCGGCCGAGCCAATGAGCGAAACTGGACTTCGTTGGCTCGGCCTTCGCGCCAGCCGAGCTCGACTCTCATTGGTCAGTGTTTTTCGTTAATAACTCGCGAACGATGCCTCGGAGAACATTTCTGTAAAGGAAAAAGTTACTTCAAATGACCTCAGGAATCCCTCATTTCTCGGAAGTAACATAATTTTGGGACACCCTGCACATATAATTTGTATATCTGTAGGACTATATAGAACAAATAATTCTCTTTTCTCTAGAATCTAATCGTAACTTAACATAGATTAACCTATCCTTTCCCAGTACGAAGAATGAACGGAGGATGTGAACTCCCGGAAGAGGACTTCCGGTTCCTCTTCGGAGAACAGTCTCGATCGATCTGTCGCCTCGCGATCCTCCCGTTTTCTTTTCTTTCTCTCTTTCGATTCTCTTTGCTCCTTCCGATATTGCACGGATCTCCACGCCGGCAAACCGTACAGACCACTCGGAAGATTTACCGTTCGGTAAATGATTAGCTTAATCTACACACTGCTGAGGTTCTCTCCGTCGAATCAGGCTTCACCGTCGCTTATCCGATCCTGATTCTTCGTGGACTCTCTCTCACTCTCTCTTTCTCTTTCTCTCTCTCTCTCTCTCTCTCTCTCTCTCTCTCTCTCTCTCTCTAACTTCCGATACGACGTTTCGTTCATACCGAAACTTCATTCGCGGAAATGGTGAAAGATGGTCGAAGAACGATTCGATTGAACTTTGATCTAATCCGGGTCTTTCGAAGCAGAGTCCCGCGCAACCACTATGGAATTTAATGAGCCTGTGCATTAAGAAAATCACAAAATTGAAACCCGAGTTTCTCTTATCTTAGAAAAATGTCCTTCTTCTGTCGGTAGTTTCATTCAGTTGAAAATGATGCAACAATATTATTATAAACTCGTCCGATCTCTTTACTAGATGCATGAAATCCGCAGTTTAATTACGATTATAATATACGAAGTGGTGAAGATCGCATTTTTTTCAGTGCATTGTTTTAGAGATAGTTCTCTGCTATTTTGCAGACTTTTTAATAACGTGAAGTAGAACTGATCTTTATTAGTGAACGTTTCGGTAAAAATTGGATTGAACAAGTTCCTTTCTTAACTTTCAATTTAAAACTCCGCTTAAGGGTTGAACTGCATTTTTCGTCTTCGAAAATCAGCCTCGGTGTAATCTCGTCGGGACACGTTCATCGCCCAGCGTGAATTAGACAAGTTTCTCGCAAGGCTCAAAAATTCTATATATATTTTTCATATTCTTCTTTTGTATACTTCATATTTGCCGATGCTTATTCCATTGAATTCGTGTGTTGCAAATGGAATTTTCATGAATCACTTGCAAAATCCTATTCAACTAGACGAAAAAGAGCGTCGCCCACTTACGGGTGACGGCGCCCCAACGAAAGCATCCCCGTCACCCATATATGGACCACGTGGCGACGAACGCGTTAACACACAACTATACTGAATTTTCATCTCTTGTTCGGACGTTAGAGCAGAATTTTGTGATTTTCTTAGCGATCGTAGAAATCGTCCAAACGAAATGCGATCGGCAGAATTCCGACGAACCTCTGCCGTATTATTTCGATGAGGGATACGATCGACCGTCGAAGTCGATCGGGGAAAGGGTGTTCACACACACGCACAAACGTAAAAGGTATAGGTACGTTATATTGAAAATTCCATTGAAGAGGA